CCCGGCCGACTTACTGGAAATGTCCAGAATGCCCTGGTCGGTTCGTATTCTGCCTACTTCCTAGTCAGCATCTAGATCCTTCCTTAGCTTCCTTCTTATCCTTAACTCTCCCTCAATACACTGAGGTGTATCAAAGCTATCGAGAACTACGAACTGCAAGACTCCTTCAGTCGACCTGAGATATCGAGTTGAGTCGACTGGATCGCATTCAACCGTTAGTGGATCCTGATACGTCTGACCGTCGTCTTGGCAGAAATCGACTTATGCTAGTCGACAGGTGTACGTCGACTCAGTCGAGAGCCGGGATCCTTGACTGTGAGTATCGTGGAGCCTTACTGGCGGAGTCGACTTTGTTAAAGTCGACTTGATAGTTTCGAACCGTGGTGATACGGACCGTTATGAGCCAGTGTGGCTATATCATAGCCGATGCCCTTAGTCGAAAGGCGAGGGGCGAGTTGACTTGCATGATCACCCAGCAGAGTCAGCTCCTTCGAGAGTTCGCTCGGATGCAGTTAGACGTCGTCGAGTCACTTCCTACGATGCCTGTAGTAGGAGGTGTTCGGTCGATGAGAGTGTGGCCCATGCTCCGAGATCGAGTTCGGAGAGATCAGTCCGTTGATGAGTTCGTCCGTTCCATGAGGGCGAAGGTTGTTGCCGAGGGCGTAGAGGGGTTTTACCGAGGCGCAGATGGTGCCTTAGAGTACAAGGGAAGGCTCGTTGTGCCGAATGTCGAGGCCTTGAGGAAGGAGATCTTGACCGAGGCTCACAGTGCACCCTATTTGGCGCACCCCGGCAGCACCAAGATGTACCACGACCTGAAAGGGTCATTTTGGTGGAGGAGCATGAAGGGAGATGTTGCTGAGTTTGTGAAGAAGTGCTTGGTTTGCCAGCAGGTGAAAGCCGAGCACAAGTTTCCACCGGGTTTAGTGCAGCCCTTGGAGATCCCACTGTGGAAGTGGGAAGAGCTTACCATGGATTTTGTTATGGGACTACCCAAATCGAGGGAGCAGCATGATGCGGTTTAGGTAGTTGTGGACCGACTGACGAAGTCGGCTCGTTTCATGCCCTTGGAGATCCCCGTTTTACCAGTCAGTTCTGGAAGAGCCTCAGCGAGGCCGTGGGGACACAGTTGAGGTTCAGTACCGCTTTCCACCTGCAGACCGACGGGCAGTCGGAGCGGACCATCTAGACACTCGAGGACATGCTTCGAGCATGTGTTCTGGACCGTAGTAGTTCATGGGAGGAGTTGTTGCCGTTGATTGAGTTCGCGTACAACAACAGCTATCAGGCGTCGATCAAGATGGCACCGTACGAGGCGTTGTACGGTCGCAAGTGCCGATCACTCCTTTATTGGGATGAGGTCGGCGAACGGCAGGTTCTCGGTCCGAAGTTGATCGAGGACACGGTGGAGAAGGTCGCCTTGATCCGTGAGCAGATGAAGGTGGCACAGGATCGACAGAAGCGTTACGCTAACCAGCGTAGACGAGATATCCAGTTCGAGAAGGGAGATAAGGCATTCCGGAAGATCAGGCCTTTGAGGGGCGTGGTCCGCTTCGAGAAGAGGGGGAAGCTGCAGCCCTATTTCTTAGGCCCATTAGAGATCCTCGAGCGAGTGGGTGAGGCCGCATACCGGTTGGCGTTGCCACCCGAGCTTTTGGGTGTGCACAACGTCTTCCACGTTTCGATGCTGAAGGATTACGTGTATGACCCAGCGCACGTGTTGAGTTACAGTGAGCTTGACGTCAGGCAGGACCTGACGTACGAGGTGCGGCCGATTGCTATTCTGGACCGAAAGGTTCAGCAGCTGAGGAGCAGAGATGTAGCGCTCGTTTCGACTTTGATATAGCCACACTGGCTCATAACGGTCCGTATCACCACGGTTCGAAACTATCAAGTCGACTTTAATAAAGTCGACTCTGCCAGTAAGGCTCCACGATACTCACAGTCAAGGATCCCGGCTCTCGACTGAGTCGACGTACACCTGTCGACTAGCATATGTCGATTTCTGCCAAGACGACGGTCAGACGTATCAGGATCCACTAACAGTTGAATGCGATCCAGTCGACTCGACTTGATATCTCAGGTCGACTGAAGGAGTCTTGCAGTTCGTAGTTCTCGATAGCTTTGATACACCTCAGCGTATTGTGGGAGAGTTAAGGATAAGAAGGAAGCTAAGGAAGGATCTAGATGCTGACTAGGAAGTAGGTAGAATACGAACCGACCAGGGTATTCTGGACATTTCCAGTAAGTCGGCCGGGGCACTTTGGGGACTTCAGGTAAATTTTGCACTTCTATATAAAGGACTGAGGTAATCCCAAAACCCTAACTCCCATTCATTCCATATTCTTTTCATGACTGCTGCTCTCAGAGCAGCTTTCTTCATCTCTTTCATATACTGACTTGAGCGTCGGAGGCTCTACGCCGGAAATCCCTCCGGCGTTGAGTTCTTGCAGGTGTTCTTGTAGTTCGATAGCAATTTGGAGACCATCAGGACAGATCTGAGCTCGTTCTCATCGGTTCATTCCAGATCCGGGCGATATTCCACCGGTCCACCCCAGATCCAGAAATAGACCCATCAGGCTACTACGTTCGCCTTCCCCGGATGGTACTGAATGGTGCAATCATAATCCTTCACTAGCTCCAACCATCGCCTCTGGCGCATGTTGAGCTCCTTCTGTGTGAAGATTAACTGCAAACTCTTGTGATCGGTGTAGATCTCACACCGACCACCATACAAATAGTGCCTCCATATCTTGAGTGCGTGAATAACGACTGCCAACTCAAGGTCGTGAGTCGGGTAGTTCTCCTCGTGGGGCTTCAGCTGCCGCGAAGCGTATGCGACAACCTTGCCCTCCTGCATCAGCACGCACCCAAGTCCCTGCTTCGAAGCATCACTGTAGATAGTGAAACTCCGTGTAGGGTCCAGTATAGTCAGCACGGGCGCTGTAGTCAACCTCTCCTTGAGCTCCTGAAAGCCCAACTCACAGCGACGACTCCACTCAAACTTAGCCCCTTTCCTCATCAAACGTGTCAAGGGTAGGGCTATCTTCGAAAACCCCTCGATGAACCTCCTAGTAGCCTGCTAACCCGAGAAAACTCCGTATCTCGGTAACAGACCTCGGTGCTGACCAGTTCCTCACTGCCTCGATCTTCCCGGGATCGACCTCAATGCCCTCGGCCGTAACGATGTGACCGAGGAACGCCACTCGATCGAGCCAAAACTCGCACTTCGAGAACTTGGCGTACAGTCTCCCCCGCCTAAGAGTCTCCAACACGATCCTCAAATGCTCCTCGTGCTGGGCTGCGCTCCTCGAGTAGACCAAAATGTCATCTATGAAGACGATGACAAACTGGTCAAAGAATGGGTGGAATACACGGTTCATGAGATCCATGAACACCGCCGGCGCATTGGTCAAGCCAAACGGCATCACGACAAACTCATAGTGACCGTATCGAGTACGAAACGCGGTCTTAGCCACGTCAGAGTCCTTGATCTTCAGCTGGTGGTAGCCCGATCGCAAATCTATCTGGGAAAATACACGGGCGCCCCTCAGCTGGTCTAACAAATCCTCGATCCTGGGGAGAGGATACTTGTTCTTCACCGTCAATCGGTTCAAGTCCCGGTAATCGATGCACATACGCAAAGTCCCGTCCTTCTTCTTCACGAAAAGGACAGGTGCTCCCCACGGAGAGACGCTCGGTCGGATGAAATCGAGATTCAATAGCTCCTGGATCTGAGCCTTCAGCTCCTGAAGCTCCTTCGGCGCCATACGATACGGCGCTTTCGACACTGGCCCGGCTCCAGGCACCAGGTCAATCGTGAACTACACCTGACGACTAGGTGGTCCTCCCGGTAGCTGATCTGGGAAGACGTCCACGAAATCACGCACAATGGGTACATCTCCGGGCATCCGCTCCTCTGAAGGTTCCGACTATGCTCACCAGGTATCCCTGGCAATTCCCTCTCTGCAAACACTTAGTCGCCTTCGCCATCAAAATGACTCGGGGTATGGTCCTCGTCTTCGTCCCAAAGAACGTGATACGATCTCCCTCGGCTAAGTGTAGTGTCACCTCTCTATCACGACATCGAATGTGTGCCTGATATCTCTCCAACCAATCCATGCCGAGAATGAGGTCAAAGTCCCTCATCTCGATCACGAACGCATCCACCTCTAAAGTTCTACCACCAATACTCATACTAAGATCCTCGGCCAAGGAGCTCGTAACTATCTTCCTCCCCGAAGCTAGGCTGATCTCGAGGGGGTCGACGACACTCACTCCTCGGACCCCTATGGCCTCTAGACACTTGGCCGAGACGAACGAATGTGTCGCCCCGGTGTCGAACAACGCAAAGATAGGCACATCACACAAAGAAATCATCCCGGACATGGTACCTGGCTGCTCGGCGGCCTGTGCCTGGTCAAGTGCGTAGACGCGTGCAGGTGCTCCACGTGGCTGGTTCGGGGCCAGCTGACGCTGACCCTGCTGACGCTGAGCTCTGTCTGGGCAATCTCCCCTCAAGTGTTCGGGTCTGTGGCAGTGGAAACAAATGCCTCGTCCCGCAAGACACTCACCGGTATGGTGGCGTCCACAGGTAGCGCAGGCTGGGGCAATTTGCTGAACTGGCTGTACGGCCTGAGCTGGGGCCTGATCTCTCTGTCGGACCCTCCTACCCTGCCGGTCCCTCCCCCTCCTCTTGTTCTGACGCTGTGGCTGCTGGGGAGGAGCCAGCTGCGGTGGGGCCTGCTGTGTTGGCTGCTGAGCCGGTGGCTGGTGAGCTGGCTGACGGGCGGCGCGAGTACGGATGGCCTCCAGTCGGAGACTCTCATCAATCTGCTTAGCCCTAGAAACGGTCTTAGCATAAGTCAGGGCGCCAAGGCCAGCGAGATGGTGGCGAATCTCCCCGCGAAGACCGCCCTTGAAGTGCCTCGCCCTCGTCTCCTCCGTATCAATCAGGTATGGCACGAAGAAGCCGAGGCGAGTGAAGTCCCTCTCATACTCATCGACAGTCCTAGCACCCCGCTCCAGTGCTAAGAACTGCCTCTCCATCCTCTCTCTGTAGTGGGTCGGGTAATACTTCTCCCGGAGGAGCGCCTTCAGACCAGCCCAAGTGAGGGCCAGCTTCTCCCCGG